AGGCAAGGAATTAAGAGCTTAGATGCTAGATGGACCAATATCTCCAATCAGATCCCCTATCAACCAAGGAGTTATGAGGGTGAAAATGTAGAGGCAAGGAATTAAGAGCTTAGATGCTAGATGGACCCATATCTCCAATCAGATCCCCTATCAACCAAGGAGTTATGAGGGTGAAAATGTAGAGGCAAGGAATTAAGAGCTTAGATGCTAGATGGACCAATATCTCCAATCAGATCCCCTATCAACCAAGGAATTATCATATCCTAAGTCCCTATTGATGAATATGTCTAATGTGTTATTATGTTACATAATCAACAAAAGAGCTTAGATGCTAGATGGACCAATATCTCCAATCAGATCCCCTATCAACCAAGGAATTATGAGGGTGAAAATATAGAGGCGAGGCATACTTGCTCCTAATATTATGATCAGTTCATAATATAATTTAATGAAACATTACATTATTTTCAATATTAAAATTACTTGTTTGACGAGCTCGTCATGAGCCGAGTGCCAATGTTGCCAAGGCTAGATGATTGCGCCTCACCTCAACAAATTTCTGATGAAATTGCTGAAATTTTCCAGCCTTGATTGCTTCTCGGATTGATCGAAAGAATCCTAGATAATGATGAGTGTTATGTCTGCAATAAGGTGAGAATTATTACTGTGAGAATGAAGATTGAGACAACTAAGTATATTTCAGGTAGTGAAATGTTCATACAACTCCAGCAGTATCTGAGCCAGCATTTCATAGACATTTAGCAAGTGATTTGAACAGTTATATATATATTAACAAAAGTGATATTTAGACAAAACTAGTTTGATTGACAAACGACAATTACAAAATGCTCTTCTAGGGGCCAGAGAACTCACAATAATATTACAAAAAGGATCATAAAGTCTGCATTAATAGTGATGATTATTAAACACAAACTTAGTCACAAGCTACAAAAATTTAGGCTTACTAAAACCATAAACCAACGTAGCCTTAAATGTTTAGGTTCCATAAAATATTAAAAATATGTATTTCCAGCTTCCACAGGGTGGAGACGAAATCCAACCAAAAGTCAAAACAAGACGCATGCTTCATGCAACTCTTGGTCAAATTGAGGTACACTTAAGTTGGTCAAGCAACTTGATCTAAAAGATTGAAAAACTATACCTGGAAGTCCAAGCCCACAGATCATGCGGGGCATTTCCTCTGGTAAAACATCCTGTGCAAGGAATGAAAGAATTGCAAGTAGTACATTTCCTTTTCGCTTACAAAACACATGCGGGAAAATGTGTAATAAAAGTGGACATGAGGCAACACAGCTTTGGATAGAGCTACTTAGAATACAGAGAGGGAAGATAGAAAAGAAAGGATACGGAAAGTGACGCAGAGAAGGAGAGAGAAGCAAAGGGATATGGATGTAATGAGAATCACAGTGAAGTTGCCTTTTTATTTGTCTTTGAAAAAAAATTCATCAAGGACAATGAACGTAAAGAGAATAGAAAAAACTTCAAAAGAAAAAAAACCAAACTCCGACAGATTGTTAACAGAGGACTACACAAACAAATCCAACTTGCTACTCTTAAGCTTCAAAGTTCAACTCATCAACTATTATGGTTCACATGCAAAACATCCACGTTCTCAGTTGGTGCAGAAAAAGGATGGCAATGTTCCAAAAGACAAACCTGACAGCATTACAAGCAAAATCCTTACCGTAATGGCATCAAGAAGGGCAGGACGCTCATCCGTGCTCTCTCCAAGCCCAAAACCTCCAATCCAGTAACCTACCAAAAATTGTTTGTTCAAACTGAGAAATCAGAATAAGCGGCCGGAAACTAGGATAGAAATGATCAATTTAACTGAACAAAATGCAACCGGAAAACAATCATTCCTTACATGCTAGATAGGGTCGAGGAACACAAATATTGACATTCTGTTCAAAATTTTATTTGTTATGTTAATGGCTATTAAGAACTTTGATAGTCTAGACAAATTCTGCAAGAAGCTAGAAATTGATATAACACAAAATTAGCTCTACAGCAATTAATTCTTGAACTAATTACCACTGTTTCACCTTATATACAAAGAACAAGTTATTGAACCTGATACATAACGCTTAACCACCTCCGCAGCACATCTTGACGTTCTTCTACATCATTGCCTCCAACAATAGCTCCAAAAACAGCTCCACCTGTCTTCATTATAATAATAAGTTACTTGTTTCAAATCACTCTTGACATGATTGGGAAAAGAAAAAAATATAAAAAGGACCAAACCTACACATAAAGACTAAATACTATCACTACACCATGAGTCATGACAGCATTCCCATATTGCTTTTGCATTAATGAGTCAACAACAGCCATATGACTCTTATCAGAAAAGGCAACAGTCATATGACTTAGATACACTCTAAAAATCTTAAGAATATCTCTTCATAAGAAAAATTTATATACAACCTATAAATTCTGCTGCATGTATATGGCCCAATACTCTTGATTTGAGGGCATTTTGAAAGCTATTAAAATGATACTCTGGAAGCACCGAACAGCTATCTCATGCCATAATACCCAGAAACAACAAAGCTATTAAAATGTTTCATTTGTGCATTTGTTAACAACCACTTCTAAAATACTAGTGGGAAACCACAATCCAATCGTTACCCATAGGCACCTAGTCTAGGGAACTTTAGGCACCTAACCCTTTTACACTTGAGAATCTATACCTAAAATATGCAAGTAAAAGCCTGTCCAATCAATCACTCTAGTATTTAGATTTTGGAAAATCTCTGATGATCACCTACCATGAACAAGTGTTTAAAGAAATCCACCAAACTTTTTCACAACATTCTTATCTGATAGAATTATGTCATTTCTATCAATTTAAAAGGGACCAGAATTCCCCTCCTTTGGTCAGCTTGCTCTGGAAATTTTGGCCTACTTTCTGCTCGTTCATGAATTTTCCTATCTAAGCACTATGATGCTATAAATTTCCCTATAGAAATGCACAACCAGATGCTTTTTTGACTGCTGCTTTTCCCAACTTATTTTCTCTCTATGGGCCTAGCCACTTGTTGAAGTTTAAAACACACAACACACTACGAAAGAGCAATTATGTACTGCTTATCTAAATGCTTAGAAATAATGCTCATTGACCTACATTTCTCAACATTACACATCTAGCAGAGTTCAAATCCAGACAAGATGCTGATATATAAAAGGGGCATCCTAGCGTTCTTACTGAGTTCATTGTGATGCATTCATCCAGCCATTTCACAGTTCGATCCACTGATGTTTTATTCCTTTTATCTGAAACCCACGATGGTACTTCATCAGCCAAGGAGGCCCAAATGTCTGGTTTCATGCACGAAATCATTTCAATTTACGCAACAGGTCTAATCTACAATTACAAAGCGAACTTAGAAACTAGTTCTCCAAATTATATACTAAAGATGGATAGCCAAAGTTGATGCAACGAGTAGTGAGATTCCATTACCGAACGATGACCCCTAGTAGTCTCAAAAGATGCTCCAAACTTATTGGTAGCATCACATTTTGGAAGGCACTGAACAGAATCCCTTGCTACAGCTGCAAATCCATATTCATGTAAACCAAGTAAATGCTATAGCCCTCCAATACTTGATATTGTTTTTGATGAATGACCTTCTATGCTATGATTTAAATGATAAAAAAGTCAATGTGACTAACATCAAACCAATATCAATTAAAAACAACTATCTTCATGTTATACTTGAAATATTTTTTTTCTACCGGACTTGTTTGTTAACTACACAGTGAAGGACAGCCAATTTTTTAATACAAGATGGAATCATGAAAATCTAAGCCGATATTTTGGATGAGAACTGTAACAGGAGCATAAAGTGCCTAAAGAGAAACAGCCACCAACATCGAGAACGACGTAGAGAATCAATTAATGTACCTACTACCTGTACAAAAATGAACTCATCTGATAAATCTAAAGAGAGAACTAAATTTTCATTACAGCATGTCATCTAAAAGTTAAAAATTTATTTATGTACGGAAGTTGAATCGAGGACCAAAGATAGATAAAAGCAATGGATTCCACAAATTTATTGACTGTTCTTTCACGCATACAAATGATTATAAATAAAAAAAATCCATAGATAAGCTGTGTAAGAAGAGCCTAGAGCATAAATCGAAACATCATAAATTAGTCGTTGCATCATTAACTCAGCCGTTCAGATAGTTAAGAATCACAGCGACATAATTATCATTCCAACTCCCATGATTACACGCTCTACATCCATCGCCAGTAATCGTCCTTTCCTATGACATATTCCCCTAGAAAAATCCAAAAGGTACCGCACGATTATTTCCAAGTACGAACTTCTTATCTCATGCTTTAGCCAGTCCTATTTTCATGATTGTAGAATAGTTTCTAGTCCAGGAATCGTCCTCGCAGACAAACAATCTTAAGCTAGACGGGAACGAATAAATGAAAAGAAAATCCATGCAACAAAGTAGAGCGAGACACTCCAATTAAGAAACACAGTGAACGCGAATGAAGTGAGTGATCAGTACATCGAACGCAAATCGAATTAAAATGAAACGATTGAATGCAGCTGAAGGCGTAGGGATTGTGTAGAATACTTACAAGTGAAGAGGACTGAATTGGAGGAGGTGAGAATCAGGCGAAGGGAGAGAGGGAAGAAGATCAGGAGAGCTGAAATTAGGCAGTCCTTTGCGAGTAGAGAGAAGTAACGCGGGAGTCTCCATGGCGGAAGCGCAGTGGACGAGCTGTAGAAATCCGGTGCGCGCCTTGCCGTTGCCCCATGCCTTCACCGCGAATTTCATTCTCTCTAAATAGAGACAAAAGCTTTGGCGCTCAATTCTGTTTGAAATGTTGAACTCCTTTTATATATGGACGCCACTTTTCAGCCACTTCAGCCCTCGCCTCCCCTTCTCCAACCATTTTTGGAAGTCCCTTTTATTTTCGTTTTTCTTAAAACGTTGTAATAAAATTAAAAAAAAAAAAGAAAAAAAAAAAGAAAAAGAAACAAAACTATTTTAATTGTTATTAGTTTTCTTTTATACATTAATCTTCCATCCTCCAACTCAAAAATAAATAAATCTTAATCAACCAAGATAAAATTTAAAATATTATTTTAGAGCCGGTTAAATCATTTTTACAGGTGTTTAAAAATCATAAAAAAATAATTTTGAGAAGATCCTTTTCGTCTATTTAGTAAATAATAATAATAAATTAAATTAGAGAAAAAAGAAAAAAAAAAGTTAAGTAGTAGGAAGAACATGCACGTGTTTTACAACAAGAGATGTCTATGGGTGGGAATGGGAATACTACCTATTTCATTTTTCATTGGGCGAAATTCTCAATTTATTTTTGTAGGAATTGGTTTCGGGTAATTTTCTTTTTATATTTATTATTCTTTAACAAATAGTTATTTTAAAGCTTTTTCATTTTTTAATATAATCTTTATTAAAAAAAATTCATAAAACAAAATATATGTACCATTTTCTAGGCGTCATTTTTTTTAAATTTAAATTTTAACATTACACCATACTATTTTATAATTCAAAAACATTTACAACATAGTCTTTACTTTAAATATTAAAATTAAAATCTTAAAATTAACTTCTTTACCTCATATATATATATATTTAATATATTGAAAATATATTTATATTAGGTAGGACAGAGATGAAACCAAAAAAATTGGGCACGCAAACAAAAAAAAAAAAATTCTCACTTCCTCTCCTATTCTTAATCTAAATGGAGAATCGAGACTCCAGCTTCCAGCTAAAATAGAATGGTGTTACATCTGAAAGAGGCAGCAAAGCAAGAGAATGCTTTTGGATGATTGATTTATTTTGAAGCAACAACCAAAGACGCATTATTAGTGTCACCAGATCTCCAACCACACCACGTTTCCGTCTTCCAACATAGCTATCATGAGAAACAACATTTCCAACTGGTAAGTACCCCGCCAGATATTACAAATACAATTATTTCACTTTCATTCCATGATATTACTACTTGGGCGAGAAATATTTAAGTTGAAGCCTAGTCTTGATTCACAGAAACAAAGATTGAGTAGAAAAAGAAAAAACTGCCCAGCAGGTCCACCAACTGTTGTGGACTTTTCTACCAAACCAACAGCCTCCTAACCATCTTGTCACCATCAAATTTGGAGCTCTCTTCTTTGCTTCAACTTTACTTTTGCAATTCTTTCACTGCAGCTTTGCGTTCTCATAAATGTCTGGGATCTCTGCTGCACTTTGTGAAGAATTTGAAACTCATTTCACTCCCTCTTCCATCGTCTGAATGTTAATGTAATTCGTCCATAAATTTTCAGAAAAAGCTTCAACAACAACATTCAACAATGAGCATGAGGTCCAGACCTCCACTCTCCATTAACCTTAAGCTCATTCTTCTTCTCTTCTTCTTCCTTTCCATCTTCATGTTAGTAATTAAATCAGGTTTACAATCTTCCCAGAATAGGCCGTCGCCCGTTGCACAAACCCATGTATCCAATTTGACAGAAGAACCAGCATGCCCATCTCTTCCCTTCACTCCAAGTTGCACAAAGACCCCGCCTTCTCTGGCCAACGCTCTCATCCATTACGCAACCACCAACATAACCCCTCAACAAACCCTCAAGGAGATCTCTGTGTCCGCCAGAGTCCTGGAAAGAAAGTCACCCTGCAACTTTTTGGTCTTCGGTTTGGGCCATGACAGCCTTATGTGGACAGCTCTCAACCATGGAGGTCGCACGGTTTTCCTTGAAGAAGACAAGGCCTGGATCGATCAAATACAGGAGCGGGTGCCCTCCTTGGAGGCTTATAACGTGCAGTACGACACCAAGGTCCATCAAGCAGAAGAGCTTATGAAGATGGGAATGGAAGAAGAGTGCAAGACTGTGGGAGACCCCAGATTTTCCAAATGTCAACTTGCGCTCAAAGGCTTTCCAACCGAGATTTATGACATGGAATGGGACTTGATAATGGTGGATGCTCCAACAGGCTACTTCAATGAGGCGCCCGGAAGGATGAGTGCCATCTACACGGCTGGCCTCATGGCTAGGAACAGACAGGAGGGTGACACCGATGTGTTCGTTCATGATGTGGACAGAGTGGTTGAGGACAAATTCTCTATGGCTTTTCTCTGCGAAGGATATCTCAGGAAACAAGAGGGCAGGATTAGGCACTTCACCATTCCAAGTCATAGGACTCGTGGGAGCAGACCTTTCTGCCCGTAGAGACCACCTTTCTTTCAAATTTCACTTCGGATTATTAGTATTATGATATCTGTCAAAGAGCGTGTTGTTCTTCTCATACAAAACCATTTTGATTTTATTATTGCATACAAAACAATTTCAAATCTGAGTTGCTTATGGGTTCAGTGATGATTTAACATGTTCATATAAAAGACTAGAACTTGTTCAAAGTTCAAAATAACGCACTCATATAAAAGACTAGAACTTGTTAGTGACGGGTAGAAAGGAGTTCATATAAAATTTTAGCAGGGTTGCTGGCTGTCTTTCTCTTAACAAATCGAATCACCAATTTATCTTTATACTCTACACGGAGCATGCTCAGGCAACAGCACCACAAGATTCCATACATGGATTATCATCATTTAAATAATATCATTAGTTTATCGAGTAAACTAAGTTGCAAATAAGATAAATGAATACAACTACAAGTGTTAAAAGTTTTCCACTTAAAATAGTAGGCATGGGCGGAAGAGTCAAGGCCTCCATAATTTCATTGTGCTGTCTTCACTATAAGTAGCAACTAGATTTCTATGAGGATGATGACTCACACCTATCACGTCCTTCTCATGAACCTAGCAGAAACAAATTAAAAGAATTTGGTATCATTATATTTTCCTTTTTGAGCTTCTTTCAAGTTTAAACAATCTAGCATCCAATCGTGCAAAGAATATGTAACAATTCAAACCAATAATAAAATAACAAGCCCAAGAAAAAGGAAAGTTATGTCTTGCAGACGTCCCAAGGAGGGAGGAATTCCTTTATGCACCGAAAACAATCAACATGGCACCAAGTGGTTTTATGAGTTTCCTATAGCTACATGGGATTCAAACTTGTATTCAACAACTTCAAAGCATTCGATCATCCATCGATTAAGTTTTTTAATGTAATTAATTTCCTTCAATCAGAGAACCATTCATATATTTTTCCTAAAATTAGGTTCCTTGATGGCTTATTCACGTAGAAGAACCAACACAATAGGCTTTGCCTACAGCCTTTCCATGTTCTCATTCATTTGTATTGTGAGGAGAGGCATTGGAGGATCAAAACTATACTCTAGGGCAACTGACAGAAACAGCAACCTAAAGTATACTAACCTACTTAATTATGATTTATAAATTATACATGGGCGAGCCAACTCTGATTTCATCAAAATATTCAAATAAAATACTATAGCCAGATAAAAATGTCACATTGATAAGAAATGTGTTCTAATCTTTGGGCAACTGAGAATCGGCCAGGAGAAATCCAAGTAATTGGAGTACAAAACACATACCTTCATGAGATGCTCCAGCTTACCGGATTGGTGGCTGAAGCAATACATATTCCTGCATATGGTAGACAAATTAAAGAACATAGGTTAAAAATAAAAATAAATAAATGAATTTGTTGATGAAAAAACTCGCAAATGGAGACCATATATGTGGTTTTAGATGTCAATCTTGATGAAAATTTCGAGCTATAAATTTTAAAGAAATCGCAATGAAAATATTGATCAATTGTCTATGCAGATGGATATTTTTTAAAGAATTTTAAATATAAAAATAAGAAAAAAATATTTAAATAAACAAATAAACATTTCACCCATTTTAAATAAGTTGAAATTTCTTCTTTATTAATATTAAGTCCACTTTGTTGATATTTTATTTATATTTCATCTTTTTTAAGAGATAATGGAAATGTTGATTCACCATGATGGAAATATCAACATATACTTACGCAAATCGACATATGAAATTACAATGGGTAAGGTCAAACAATCATATTTCAGTAAAAAGGGTACCAACTAGAATTAGTAACAGTGTATACCCACGTCTGGAAAAAAAGAAAGAAAAGGAAACTGCACCAAACATGACAAATAGAGGACACAACACAGCTGGATGACTTTAATTTTATGCATCCAAAACATAAGAAAACAGACCTGTCTTCACCAATGCAGTATATCCATTCACCTTTTGGTGATACGCAAGCTGCAACGAAGTCTCCCCCTTCTCTTTTACCAGATGAGAAGCTCTTGACAACCTATATGCAAGCAATAGATTAATAAGCCAAGATAGTAATTGTATTAATTACATTATTCTGCAGAACTTTCTGAAGTGTGTCATGAGCATCATAATAATCTGTAAGAAAAAAATCTTTTTCATCATATCCCACCTACTCGGAGTTCAGAAAGACTTTCATCGTAACCCATGCAACTACATTTTATGTCAAAGCAATTTGGAAAAAAAAAAAAAACCAAAAAGTGATTCAGCTTCAAAGTCATGCAAGCAGATACTTCCACATTTGTTTGCATAAAGGTGTAGGAACGCAAGAGCAAAGAGAGAATATGTTGAAATTATTGAGAACAATCCAGCAATAGCTGCACCAGTTAACTTCAATGCCACACCTAATCATTAGATACTTGAAGACATCCACGTGGACATATCAAGAGGTTAATTGATTTGTCTACCATGACAATCTAGAGAAGAACATTATTTTTTCAAAATGTGGGTAGGATGGTTATGCAATTTGAACAGTGTTTTGAAACCCTCACCGTAGTGCTGGTAGGGGCACTTTTTGTTACAACAACCTTTCTATGGTTTTACCAATTGGTTTTCACAGCCTTGTGCCATGTAAATTTTATTCATCAATAAAATAGTCTCTTATCTAGAAAGACAATCGAGGGAAGAAAATGATCTCACTCCTAGCTTAGCAATTAACATAAGTACCTGCCCTTGCAATGTCATGATGTATATTGACGATGTCTTGTTACAAACAACAATAAGATCGGCATTTTTGGGGAAGATATGAACTGAATTCACAGAGGCATCTCCTCCCTAGGATTCCAAAAAGTGAACAGTGGTGAGCAACACTAAGTTTTTTGTGTTAATATCTCTCATCTATTAAAGCAGTTTCACAAACCCTTAATGGAGGCGGTGGCTTGAACGTATGCAGACAATCGGTTGTCTTCACATCCCAAACCTACAACGAACAACAAATTTACTATGTTACTTGGAACGATCCCAGCCTGCCAACTACATTGCACAGTCAATAGTCATAGAACATGGTCAAAATAATGATCAACCTTGACCGTGCAATCACTAGATGCGGTAATGACACGTGCTCCATCATTAGTAAAGACTGCATCATTCACATATGATGAATGGCCACGGAATTCCTTCAATAGTTTCCCAGACTTTAAGCCATGGATTCTATATCAAATATAACACAAATTAGTTATAACATTAAAAAGGAAGAAGTCGTGAACATCCAAGAATTAATTTGGGGGAAGAAAGTAAAGATGAAGTTTTTTCTTTTAAAAAAAAGCCAAAAACTAACCAGATAAAACCATAATTCCCATTAACATATACCATAGAGTAATGTCCACTAGAGCAAACATAGAAAATATTCTCATAGCAACAATCAAGATCTTGAACCAACCTTGCTGTGGTGTCAAAAGATGCACTCAACAACTGGGTTCCATCACGAGAGAAAACAACACTCGTAACTCCCTGAGAATGAGCACGTTCGAGACGCCGCAAGCATTGGCCAGTCCTTACACGCCATACCTAGATCACGACAAAAATATGGATCTCCAATGATTGAAAGTAACATAATATTGTCCCAATAATAACCAATAGCTTCCTAAGGTATCAAAGACAAGCAGTCAAAGAGTACAAGTTAATGCTAGTACACCAATGTATAATTACTTAGATACTACATCCCTACCTCATTGTACATATTATATTCTACTTATTTAGTTTTTTTTTTTTTTTTTTTTTTTTTTTTTTTTGCGAAAAAATAAAAATAAAAAAAGAAGAAGAAGAATGAATGAAAAGAAAAAAGAAAAGAAAAAAGAACTTGCGTTCAATCAAAAAAAGAGCTTGAGGCTTTAAATGGACCAAATCACAATAGCTTCTTGTGATTCTTTCCAAGTCTGCTTTTATTTCAACTCTATGGTGCCAGCATAGGACTTCATTACCTGAGCGAAAAAACAAGACCTTACTTGCCACACGATCCAATCTTATCATTAACAGTGGATGCAAAATGACCTCCACCCTAGAGGATGGCTCCCTTTTTTGACCAAATGAACCCCAAATGATAAAAAAAACAGACCCATACCGAGCATTGTCAAGGCCCTCCACCGTAACCTTGCAATGAATGTACCACGGCAGCCCCACCATAAGGGAATAATGCCTCAGAATGCAGTCGAACTTGTTAATCCTTCACTTTGGGATATGGGGTGCCCTTGCCTTGATGCTTCCTAGACCTTCTGTAACTACTCACCATGTAATGTGAATGCGTCTCATTTGGTAAAAAGTTTGGTTGTTCTTAACATTCCTCGTATTTACATTAGAGATTAAATAGCCAATGTTTACTATTCGTAAAATGGATAAATTTTATGCTCCCATAGTGTAGGACTAAACTTTATCAGAACTCTGCCTCCATAACCCTCCAGAATATAATATTAAACAAAATTAGACACGGCCGCTGAAAAAAAAATCTCTCTAGAAAATAAAACGTAATGCGCACACACAATGGTATGGAGAATTTTTTATTCTAGCAACACATTTAAATTGCGTGTTTAAGATAGATAAATAATAAGCAACACAAACAAGCATAGAAATGATTACAGATTACATCCTACTGGAAGAATGATTACACAAGTGATTGAAGAAGCTGAACTCAGAACTCACTTTGATTTTCCCATCTTGTGAACCAGAAGCAATCATCTCTGAGTCTCTACTAAAATCAACGCAAAGGACCGGATCATCATGCATCATAAAAGTTTCCTGTAAACCCACTTGCATGTTAAAATATGCAACCAACAAGAAACTTATTGTAATACCCCTATGTTGAGTTTTGGGCAAATGTGAGATGTGTGGATGACTTGGAAAAGTAAGGATAAATAAGTGCATAAAGAATAAATAAAGAAGTAAATAAATAAATTTTAAAGTACAGCATTGGCCACCCCGCCGCCGTTTACCCTGTCGTTGGCGTACGGTGGCTATGGCATGCAAGGTACAATGAGGAGGCGACTTAACACACTTTCCTCACAGATTTCGCTGGATTTGGGGCACTGGAGTGATTTAACGGACTGTGGAGCTTGGATTGGAGGAGAAAACTTGACGG